GGGATCCTTGTGTAAGAGAAGGGACTCTGATGTGAAGAGGGGATACTAGTGTAAGAGGGGGACTCTGATGTGAAGAGGGGATCCTAGTGTGAAAGGAGGGACTCTGATGTGAAGAGAGGCTCCCAGTGTAAGAGGGGGGACTCTGATGTGAAGAGAGGATCCTCCTGTAAGAGGGGGGACTCTGATGTGAAGAGAGGATCCTCCTGTAAGAGGAGGGACTCTGATGTGAAGAGAGGATCCTAGTGTAAGAGGAGGGACTATGATGTGAAGAGGGGATCCTAGTGTAAGAGGGGGACTCTGATGTGAAGAGGGGATCCTAGTGTAAGAGGGAGACTCTGATGTGAAGAGGGGCTACGCTCGACGAACGCTCTACAAAACGCTCAAACGGGGATCCCAGTGTAAGAGGGGTGACTCTGATGTGAAGAGGGGATCCTAGTGTAAGAGGAGGGACTCTGATGTGAAGAGGGGATCCTTGTGTAAGAGGAGGGACTCTGATGTGAAGAGGGGCTTTTAGAATGAGAGGGGGGCTCTTGCTCTAAAGGGGGCCCCTAGTGCAAAGGAGGCTGCTGATATAAAGGGGATCCTAATGTAAATGGGGGCTCCTGATATTCAGAGGGAACTCTATTGTGAATGGGGAACCCTTTTTTTCTGCTTTTGTGAGGGGACCCCCTATAAATCCATCCTGGACACCTATCTGGTATAAGGGTCTGGTATGGATTTTTGAGGGGCTACATCCACATGACATTGTCGTGCCATAAGACGACATTTGTATATGTTCCTGTCCCCGAACTCCCCTGGGACGGGTTGACTCCGGCTGATGTGTGCTCAGCACCTGCTCGTCACAAAGAATATTTAATTGCCCCCAGAAGATGCCTATTAAACACGGGGAGAGTCTTCAATTACATAAACAGACATCTAAAGAGTAAAAAAAAAAAGGAACTTGCCCCTGTTATAGGCTGAGGACGGCCCCTGGCGTCCCGCAGCAGGTGAACCATGATTATTGGTGTATTGTTCTGGGGGGGGGCGGGAACATCACAGATGTTAATGTAACTGACACTCTCTGGTCTCTGGTTCCCAGGCAAGTCTTCTAATACCAGTTATCATTAACACCTTCCCTGCCAAGTGCCCTGTCATGGGCTGCTGCAATATTATGCAACCCCTCGCTTCTTTGTCCAGGAGGGTTGAGTTGTGCCCAAAAGGGCCAAGCCAGCTAGATGGGCGATTTTAGGGCTGCCTAAGAAAGCATTATTATTATTATTTCACCTATATCTGAGTGTGAACAGCTTTATATCATCTTATCAGTGTGTGCTTAGTGATAATATCGGTAATAACGTGTTAGGCCTCGTTCACACCTGAACGTTTTGTAGCGCGTTCTACGCTCGACGAACGCTCTACAAAACGCTCAAACATCTAAATCCCATTGTATGCAATGGTCTGGTTCCCACCTCGGCGCCCGCCCGGCCCTAACGTGCTACAAAACGGCCCGCGCCTGGAAAGGTCCCGGTACTACTTTGGGCCGTTTTGTTGCGCGTTTCCATTGGGATACAGCCAAATAGCCCCGCGAATCGCGGTAAAAAAAACGCGCAACAACCGCGCATAGGCAATACGCCTAGGTGTGAACTTACTTTACGCCTCTCGCTATAGGTTTACATGTGACCGGTTTGAAAACAAATGACTCTTTGTAAGGTTAGCCAATCTTATCTCAGCGGTCCTGAGAACCTATTCACACGTCCGTTTTCATGCAGCAAAACTCATATGCCTTTTGTTGCATGAAGATGCACTGCAAGTACAAATCCCGTTATGTATGTGGTTGGTCCACATCTATGCAATGCGGTTTAGTGTGAAAGGTAAACTACATGGGCCCGTTCACACGTAAGCATGAGCATTACTGTACATGATGCATGCACATGGAACGGTGTGAATCCAGCCTGAACGTAATAGTTACATGGAGGGTTAGTGTTAGGGTCACAGAGAGATTACGTTTTTGGCTTGCAGAAAGGGTTACATAAAGAGTTAGTGTTAGGGTTATGGGAAAGATTAGTGTTGGGGTTACAGGTAGGATTAATGTGAGGTTTAGTGTTAGGGTTACATGGAGGGTTAATGTTAGGGCTACAGGGAGAATTAGTGTTTGGGAAAACATGAAGGGTTAGTGTTGGGGTTACAAGGAGGGTTAGTATTGGGGTTATATGGCGGGTTAGTGTTGGGGTTACAGGGAGGGTCAGTGTTGGGGTTACGTGGAGGGTTAGTGTTGGGGTTACAGGGGGTGTTAGTGCTGGGGTTACAGGGAGGGTTAGTTTTGGGGTTACAGGGAGGGTTAGTGTTGGGGTTACATGGAGGGTTAGTGTTGGGGATACCGGGAGAGGTAGTTTTGGGGTTACATGGAGGGTGAGTGTTGGTGATACAGGGAGGGTTAGTGTTGGGGATACCGGGAGGGGTAGTATTGGGGTTACATGGAGGGTTAGTGTTGGGGATACCGTTAGGGGTAGTATTGGGGTTACATGGAGGGTGAGTGTTGGTGATACAGTGAGGGTTAGTGTTGGGGATACCAGGAGGGGTAGTATTGGGGTTACATGGAGGGTGAGTGTTGGGTATACAGGGAGGGTTAGTGTTACAGAGAGGTGTTGGGGTTACAGGGAAAGTATGAGTGAGAGGGGGTCCATAGTGAAGGCCATTGTTCACATTGCTAGCAGCTCTGCGCTTCAAACTACCAGTGTTGAGCGGCTCGCACTGACAGCCTGTGTATTGCCAAAATGAATGTTTTCCTAGTTTTGGGCTGCGTAGGGAAGTTTTGGAACCTGTACCAGTTCTTTCTATTGCTGTCCATCTCCCCTTTTTCAGAGATTTATGCTTACTTCCTGTCTAGATGATCTTGTCACTGGGTCAGAAAGTGATGACAATTGTCAGAGTTGGAATGAAATCTCTCAAAGTGGACTTACAAATATTGGCACATATGCGAATCTAGGCATGTTAGGATGTATTGACAGCCTATTTTCAGGATTCGGGTGTGAAAGTCAATTCGGATTCGGAATTCGGATGAAATTAATTAGCGGTAGTTCGTTCGCACGTTCGTTTCGTTTTCGTTTCTTATTCGTTTCTTTCGTTCGTTGCAGCAAAGTGACATTTGAGGGGTTCATCTTGTCTTGGGTATTACAGCACTGCCTGGTATGGAGGGGCTATGTATATTGGGGTTCAACCTCCCCTATGTGGCACATAGACATGTGACACCCGCTGCCAAGAAATGTCAGACCACAACGGGTGTTTTCGTAGGATACATTTTGGACGTTTCTTGTCTGTCCAATAATCCTGATATTACAAATGTTGGCTTTTTTTTTTTTATCACCTCCTGTCACAGAGAATGAAGATGAATGAGTTTACAGGGAGGACAGGGACAGCTGGCGATGATAAATGTCATGAGATCATCATAAAATATACAGCTTAGATGTCTTAGGTACTTTCCACCTATTAGTGGGTCCATTCCGCACATACTGCAAAATCAATTTTCAGTGAAGCGTGGAAGAAACCTCGAGCTTCTCACCCGGGTGCATGATGGGAAATCATTAAGAGAGGCAGCAGTGCGGAACGTGTGGTGACACCTCGCCCCGCCATTTTGTTTTTATTTTTAGATACCGCAACCTTCATTGTATCGCTATCAAGGTCATGTTAAAGCTGAACTCCGGCCTTCCCTTCAGTCTTGCACAGAAGTACCGTCTCCTCTCCTGGACTGATTTCACTGCACACTGTGAGCTTCCCACTGACCACCAATGTAAGGAGCATTCTTCCCACTGATCACCAATGTAAGGAGCATTCTTCCCACTGACCACCAATGTAAAGGGCATTCTTCCCACTGGACACCAATGTAAAGGGCATTCTTCGCACTGACCACCAATGTAAGGAGCATTCTCCCCACTGACCACCAATGTAAGGAGCATTCTTCCCACTGATCACCAATGTAAGGGGCATTCATCCCACTGACCACCAATGTAAGGAGCGTTCTTCCCACTGACCACCAATGTAAGGAGCGTTCTTCCCACTGGCCACCAATGTAAGGGGCATTCTACCCACTGATCACCAATGTAAGGAGCATTCTTACCACTGATCACCAATGTAAGGAGCGTTCTTCCCACTGGCCACCAATGTAAGGAGCATTCTACCCACTGATCACCAATGTAAGGAGCATTCTTCCCACTGATCACCAATGTAAGGAGCGTTCTTCCCACTGACCACCAATGTAAGGAGCGTTCTTCCCACTGACCACCAATGTAAGGGGCATTCATCCCACTGACCACCAATGTAAGGAGCATTCTTCCCACTGGACACCAATGTAGGGAGCATTCTTCCCACTGATCACCAATGTAAGGAGCATTCTTCTCACTGACCACCAATGTAAGGAGCATTCTTCCCACTGACCACCAATGTAAGGAGCGTTCTTCCCACTGACCACCAATGTAAGGAGCATTCTTCCCACTGACCACCAATGTAAGGGGCATTCATCCCACTGACCACCAATGTAAGGAGCATTCTTCCCACTGGACACCAATGTAGGGAGCATTCTTCCCACTGATCACCAATGTAAGGAGCATTCTTCTCACTGACCACCAATGTAAGGAGCATTCTTCCCACTGACAACCAATGTAAGGAGCATTCATCCCACTGACCACCAGGGAACTGGTTTTAGCAGGGGTTCCCAAGACCTGAAAATAATTTTAAGGATTCCTCTGGGATTTAAAAAAAAAAAAGCGAAAATCTGAGTTTGCAGATCCTTAAACCTTGCTTGCAATAATCTTTTATGGCCGCTAGAGAGCGCTACACAAGCAGTAGTAATCCATTCTGACTCCTGTCCACCAGAGGGCGATGCTGCACAGGTAAAGGCAATCAATTTCCACTCCGGGCCAACAGAGGCCAGTATCACACAAGCAGCGGCGATCTTTTCCGACTCCTGGCCACCAGGAGGCGATAATGCACAGGTTGTGGCAGGAAGGGCTCCTCTCTATGTTAAGTGTCATCTCCAGGCGGCCATGCTGTGTGTGTACAAGGACAAACCTTCTGCCAGGACCACTATGATCCAGCTCTAGGTATGTCTCTCCTCCTGTATGCTGCCATTGTATGTGCTCTTCGCCAAAACATGAACTTTATAAGACATGTCTGCGCAGTGTGGTGAGTGCAGGTCCCTTTTAAAGGGGAATGACACCCATAATGCAGCCTATGAGCTCACATGTGACATTGCTGCAGCATGCTTCCCTGATGTGAGCTGAATATCTTGCTCAGGCTGTAACAAGGCAGACAGGTACACTTCAACTTGCTGGTCTCTGTGTACTAATACCGTCCATCGTTGAAGTGTACGTCGCTGGTAACCAGGGGTCCATCTCGGGGGTCTAAGTTGGACTTGTTCTCAATGTAATCAATAGGAAGGAGATTATAATGTTTATATGGATTAGGAATCCCTGCCAGCATTAGTACTTGTGAGATTCAGGACCTGGGCACAGTATTGTACTGCGGCAGCGCATGTATGTTAATGCTGTTATGTGCGTTATGCTGCATGTTTACAGTATGGCATAGCGCACATCACCCTACGTGTGCTGCCGCAGCTTGATAATGTGCATGGGCCCTGAATATTACAAGTTAATTTCTATGGGCTGCCTAATGCAGCAAATCGCAGCAATGTACATGCGTGTGCTATTCTCAGCAGTGCAGCTCACAGCAACGTATGTGCGTTTAGGAGGGGCTTGGGGTACCACTGAGAATGTTTACCCTATACATTCAGACATGTGCAAGCAGAGGGGTGTATATAGATGGTACAGGGGGTGTCATATTCAGACATGTGCAGTCAGGAGGGGGGTATAT